CTTCTAAGTTTGGATTCTGCTCCATATATTTTTTTCCTGCGTCTCCTAATCTGAACAAGTCAAATGTCTGAAGAGATGTATTGAAGTATCCCCGCACATTCTGTACGACGGATATGTCATATGACATAATGCCTTGGAGCGCCCATCACAGATAAAATGACAGATGCTGTTTTTTGCCTCATGGATCTTTCTTGGCCAAGTTGATTCTGAGACTTGTATTTTTACTCCGTGCTGCTGTCTCTGTGACTCTGCTTTACCGCTTATTCTCCTCTCCAAACATTTTCTTTTCATCCGCAACAACTTTACAAAACCTGCTGTTTCCGTATCGAGTTTCAAACACGCTCACTGTGTAATTGCTGGCGACAAGGAGAGCGTTTTCGATGATGTCTCACTTTCTTTTTTAACTGACACTCAGCCATCTGCTTTGTTTAGAATTGGTGTTTACCCCGCCCATCTGCTCACCCTTCTCCACATTAGTTCTCGCAGGCACTGGTGAGAGGTCTGCTCTCCATAGATACAGTAGTCCAGCTCCATAGACGCCTTCTTTGGGTTACTGACACTGTAGAGGGCATGTATTGATGGAGGGGAGAGGTGATGCTGTGCTGAGTAAATTCCTGGACATGCACTGACCTTTCTGTCTGTATTTTAGTCACTAAAAGCTCTTGCTGTCCCTAAGGGGAGTGAAGCATTCTGGGGGCTACAGTGTTTTACCAAGGAAGTGAGGTTCTCTACTTGTTGTCTTCTTCCTCCCTACCATCACCCACTTTTGTCAAGGCACCGCCCCTGCACCGACTGGCTGCCTGGAGCTCTCGCTTCCCATCTGTCCAGGTGGATGGATGGCTTTGATTGGTACAAATCTCTGACCCTGTCGTCGGCCTTGCTTTTGAGTGGCAGTAATTGGCATGGCAGTAGGCAGGCCCATCTTTCACTTGTGGTCAGCTATGATTGACCTGATTAGGCCTGGGTAGCTCCCCAGAGTGAAGGGGTCTGGTGTGCCCTGGGGCTCTGATAAGCTGGCTGTACCCACTTGTCCCTCAACCAGCAGCAGAAGATGATACATGTTGTTTAAGTAAGTTGGCAGGAACAGTAGCCTGACTAGCCTTACTTGTCATTTCGTATCCAGGGGTCAGGGAGTTTACAGAGGGAAATTTGAGACATGGCATTGTCATACAGTGTGTGCAAACCCGAGCATATGAGAGGGCGGCCGCCGGAGGGTTTTGGTTTGGTTCTTGTAAATTCAGACCAGTCATGTGTTTGCAATTAAGGCTTGTCTGTACAGTTTGTTTACAGAGTGGTGCAATCAATGTAATTGTGAGAGGGTGTTCCTGACTGAAATGTCTGTCTTCTTTCTCTCGGCCTGGGTTAAAGTGGGCACTTGCTGGTTTTCTCTCCCAGTGTTTCTCATTTCCAAATGTAAGTGCGTCTTTTGATTTGTATCAACCTCTGTAAATACTCCCTTTTTATCATTCTTGTTTTCCCTGGATCAAATATAAACAAGGGCTCTATTTCAGATTGGGACGTCAGCTCGGATCCATGTCAGCAGCTTTGTTTGTGTAAAGGCTGAAGCTGTGCATATCCCATGCATTGTAAAGAGCCATAAAACAAACTGAAGCTACGGCAATGCTTTCACTGTTTGTTTGAAAATGTGTTGTCAGTGTTTTCCAAGTTTAAGTTCTAGTTTGCACCTGGATATCTGGATGTTATTAAGTATGTCTGTTTGTTCTCATTTAAGCTCCGCGCGAGAGATTATTTTTCTTAAGTGGACGTGTGTACTTGCTTAGAGGCTTCAACATTCCTTACCACTGATACCGTGAATGTGTTTGCCATTCAATAAAGATTATCTCATTTTGTGAATGAGAAARCTAATACTGTTAACTATCAAGTGTTCTTACAAAGTGCCCCACTGTAGAAAATGATCCTTTTGGCTGCTGCAGAGAAACAAAGATCTTTGCTTCTTTAGAAAATTGAGAATGACTTCATACAAGTAGACATTGTACAATCCTTAAATCAAAAGGAAAAAAAAAAGCATTATAAAGGAATAAAAACAGACCAGTCATTTAATAAATCTAATACAATGTGCAATATTTTAAACACATTACATCAGAAGCACATTTCTAAAGATAAATGTAAATGCACTCTTGTTTAAAAAGTTTGAACACTTTTATCAGGAACCTTAGGATAGTGGTTTTTGAGTTATACCACACTTCTGTCACCAGTGGACAGTCCTAAATACAGGAGCGAGTRCATTYGGAGTAGATTGAGGACACTTTAAACTAACTAACTAATCACTTGGGTTACATTTGGAGGTAGTCTGAAACACTTTTAAGCCTTTGTGTGTTAGTTGAAAGCAAATGTGGCTCAGGATGCACCACCTGACCTGACGTAACTTCAGCCAAGCAGTGGAGTTACAACCAGGATGGGTTTATGGTCCCCACCCCACCCCCTATTAAATGCTGTACAGTTGTTTGAAAAAAGAAAAAGGTACAAATGCCCATTGATGACATGAGAGACATAATCTGAACGTGTCCTCAACCTACTTTAAGTATGTTTTCACTTTTATTTATTGTTGTCAGATTGTGATCCKATTAGCTACAGTTCTGAATGAAGCCCAGGACACTTTCACGTAGGGCTACATGAGATTGGAAAAAGCTGACATTGTAATTTTTTTTCTAACCCTGCAATATATATTGTGAAAAACAAAATACAGGGACTTCAACAAATGTGTTGAATAACACTTTAAGCCATCTTGTTGACAATGAACTGCATTGATCTAAGCTCTTGTTTGGTGCATGTTTCAAGTGTGTTTTTGTCTGTGTTTGAGTTATTCTTGTTATCTTTTAGTTGCTTTTATTGTGCTAGGACCTGACTACATGTTCCCTTCTATCACGCGCAAACAAAAATTCTATTTTACCACCTAACTTGTTACATCTGTGTCTATCTTTGTTGATGTCACACTTTAATTTTAGCATTCCTCCAGTTCCCTGCAAATTTGCTCATCTTACTYGCTTTCATCAAGACMCTCATYGTCTTCCTCCACAACTTGAGAAYACCCCGACAACACTGTCYCAGAGGTTTCGCAACAAAATGAAAGTTTCAGTRTTGACACGAAGCTGCCCACTTTGCCAGCAGAACAACCTGTCAAAATAAAAGCTGGAACACTCGACCGTTTAGTGCAATGACTAATTGTTTAGTGGTTTAGGCTGTAGATAACACATTGATTTAATTTGCCCACTACATTGCAGAACCTGCAACGTGACTATTGTGCACATGTACACTGTGATGACGATACTCAATGTATTGTGCAGCTCTACTTAGTGGTCACCAGCAGCGATAATAAAACCTAAAATTATTTGAGCATTTGATCCTACAAAAGYTTGCATTTTTACCAAATACAATCTGATTTAACTCTAGCTTYTGAAAGTTTTGAGTCATAGAATTACAGATAGTTGACCTGAATATAAAGTATGGAGTCCATCCGATAGCTACATCTGGATAAAACACACAGGTTGATAGAGAGCAGATTAACTGCTAACGGGAAATATTCAACCCAAAAGGTTGTTAACCAGTGCATTGTTGTGCAGCAGCATCGTTTTAAGGAGTCRTTAGAAATTAATGTGGAGAGTTTCTGATCTGTTTTAATGCTTGGTGTAAACTAATCTCACAGTTTTGATCACCCAGAATGAGTTTAATGGTACAAAGCTAGGTCTCATACATATTTTCAGGATTAATGCTGTTAGCTTTAGCATGGATGACRTGTACTTTTCTAAGAACATCCTGGTTTACACAGAAACCTTAACAAATTGTGGTCCCCAGTTTTACAGTATAAACAAAGTTTTGAAAGCTTTGTAAGCCTTGGGGGGTATTATGTATTTTTCAGGCAYATAGTTCAGTTCTACACCACAGTCAAGTAACTGTTACCTTTAGTTGTTATAGAAGTGCTGTGAATATCAAAAATAATTTTGACTCTGCATCATAAGCTGCGTTTCCATTGACCATGAAAATGCGCAAATTAGAATTTCGAAAATAAATTTGCTCAATGGAAACACGTCAATTTCGAAAAATAATTAAGTTTTTCGACTAAATGGTTTTGTGCTAGGATGAGGTGGTTTTTCGGCCATATCGTAATTGGTGTGTTTCGCAAAACTGCAATGGAAACACTTTTTTCGCATCATGGGAGTCACATGATCAAGAACTGGCTGTTTCTACTGGCGAAAAAGGCGACGACGAAGAAGATGACAGGAAGTAGAAGTAATAGTGAAATCACCGAAGTTGTAAAAAAAAGTAGTAAACTCACCAACTACAATTTCCCAAAAACGCATCAAATGTAGCCACTCCCAAGAATAAGGGACTTGTCAGTCGAAAGCCTCGATAAGACGCCGACATCTCCTCTGATGGCTGATGATGAGCGCTAGTGTCGCGGTAGCAATGTGCATGTGTTTACATCCATTGCCGCCGTGTTTGTAATGACTTATCGCGAGAACAAGCGTATTCACTCGTGACTTTAATAGCATTTCTTACTTAATGGAAACACAGAAATCGCGAAACTGTTTTTTTACATTAACAGAATATCGACAATGTTTTGTGCACATTTGCAATGGAAACACAGCTATAGTCCATCTAAATGCCTTGAAATTGGCCTCTGTCTCTTTAAGAACCTCCTAATCTTTTTGACTTTTCCACTTCACCACATTTTCAATCAATGGTTCAGGGGAGAGGTGCTCTGTGGAGCAGGAGTTCAAATTCRGACTGGGCTTCAGGGAGGAGCTATGTACAAATAGGCGGTGCTTTGTACCAGCAAGCGATTAGGCAGCTCATAGATTTTTTAAACATGCATGAATGAGTCAAAGCAACACTGTGTATGTTTTTGATGAGGGGATGACATTATAACAYGATATAAAAGTCAAAAGAGGTCGATTTTGCATAATAACCCCACCCCCTTTAATAAATCCTGTTGGAGTCTCATCACACTTCTCACCTTTGGATTCCTCCYGTGTCTCCAGGTTTGCGGCAGCATGGCAGGCTCTCCAGCCGGCTCGTCGGCCCCGTCCACCTCATCTCGCCAGTACACACGGCAGCGCATTACTCGGGTCAACCTCAGGGACTTAATATTCTACATGGAGCAGGAGAGAGAGACCGCCMACTCCCTCCTCCTCTACCGAGCCCTGCTCAAGTAGCCTCCGCTCTGCTCAGCACTCACCGCAACCTCCACCTACTCCTCCTCCTCCTCCTCCTGCCACGTGCCTTCAGATCAGGTCTAATGTTTCAGCTCTGTGTCTTTCAATGTACTGTAGTGATGTTTGATGTAGCTTTTATTAACAAGACAATGGAGAGATAAGGAAAAGTCAAGATGTTGTTCCCTGTGCTCTTTGTTTAGCTTCACAGCTTGTAGTCAGATTATTCCAGTTAAAGGCCATATTATATTTTTTATTGTGTTGSATTTGTTAGTGGAAGAATGTCATTATGTCACAGGAGTTGACTCTAAACTTATGTGTTGTAGGGATGGAACGGTTTATGAAAAAAAACATTGAACGGTTCGGTTCACCTGTCTCAGTTCAGGACGTGTGTGTGCCGTTCAGTTGTACTCGTGCAATAAAACTCTGTCCCAGTAAAAGTGCAGCAAATCTCGAGAGGTTCTCTGAGTTTCTTCGGACGTTTCTGAAGGTTTTTATGTCCTGTCAGCAGGACCAACTTTTCCAGCTACCTAAAGAAACAACAGATGCAACTTTAGACTGAAACAAACCTCTGTCACGCAGGCGCTTGGTAAAGGCCAATAAATGAAAAGCATTTGGACATAATCAATGTCTTCTCATTTACTGTACAAAAAAATCACACCAAGCGTTACCAGAGGCCTGTCACTATAATGTGCCTAAAACCAAACTGCTTCATTCCTTTAGTTTTTACATGACTACATATTAAGAGTGATTGATATTTTTAAAAGTAAATGATTGATTATCTATGACTGATTTATGRTATTTCTGGAGAAATAGAAAAAATAAAACACAAACCAAACCGAATTATGAGTTTTGTGAACCGTTCCACCCCTAATGTGTTGGGTAACTATTTATTTCAGATTATTAGCAGAAGCTATGTAAAACCACCTAAAAGTAACAATTACTTTGTTATGGTTATGCTACAGATCTGAGAGCTATATGTTGAACTTAATTCAGTGAATGTAGTCTAACTACTCTAAATAATAAGACTAATTACACCAACATTTTGTTTCGAAACAGATTCCAAATAACAGCATCATGTTACATTTCCTTGCAGTCTGTGTAAATAGTTCTTTTTGAATTATTTTACAGCATGTATATTTTTATCATAAAATAAGCTTTGTAAGAAAATGAGTAACTCGTGTGTCGATATTAAGAGACCCGTTTTGTAACACAGCGTGCTTTGAAAGAGTCACATTTACACCGTTCATTCTGTCGAGGGTTGCTACAAGGCCGACCCCGACCCCGCCCGCCCAATCATTTAGTGAAACTGCAGTCAGCACCCTCTTTTGATTGGTCACTCTTGTTGAATGAGTCAGTATTTTTTGTTACACAATGTATAATGTGAACATTTTTTTTGTACGACGGTTTGTTTGTAATTTGTGTCCTGCAGTATCTCATCCACATGCTGTTTAAGAAAGTAAGATTTTAGTAAGAGTTAAAGTAAGGAGAGTAAAAATAGACATTCCTTTTATCTTTTCCAGTCTGTATGTTCACCGATGTTTAAAAAAAACATTGAAGTTATTCCCTCTGTCTGTGTCGAACCTTTGTGATGACTGAATGATAATCTATTTTATGTGCAGCACTTGTATTTTTGATCCAAAATGAACAAAATGACAGCTGTAAAATGATGTGGACACAGTGGAAGGARATACTTCTATGATTCAAACTTCAAAGTGTTTTTTTTTTCATCATTTTCTAATTAATCGTTTTGACTGAAGAGAACAGTGAAACAAATTCTGCTTTTTTTTACATCACTTTATTTTTTAAACAATCTTTATTGTATTATGTCATATTGTATATCATGCTTTTGTTTTTTATTTTGTTTGTTTTTTATATATTTAACTCAATTTCTTGGCCTCTATGCAGCTTTTCTTCTCATAATGAAGTTTATTTAAATATGGGGGGGGGGGCATTTGAAACAATTGCTGTGCATTGTATAATTAAACAGCACTTTTTTATACCTATTTTACCTGACAACTGAAAGCTGTCACTGTATTATAGCAAAAACAAATGGCATCTTTTAAGTAGTAAATGCTGTCAGAACACTTATTTTATCACAATTAAGGCTTTTTTTTTCTGGGATTGGCTTTTATGCTGAAACATTTTCATAAATCTGATCTCTGAGATATCTTATTTTAGAAACAAGCACAACACTACCTGTCATGGATATTTCAAATGATTTTATGACTGATTTCTATGGTTTCTGGTGGCTTCACAGGAGAACATTTTTACAGCTTTTTAGCCAAATTAGAGGGACAATATTCCTACTGTAAACACACGGGGGAAGCAACATTACAAATGTGGAAAGGATTTGTAAATATTGTTTACAAAACTATGTGTTTATTAGAACCACGGTATTTTTGGTAAACTCTTGTACATACCTTGAAAATTTCCTGTTTGTGTGAGAAAAAAAAACTTTCGTATTTGTACTTATTTTGTAAATGAATAAATAAGCTGTTTACTAAACTGAACTGACTTTATAGATGATTTGTTTACATTGTTTTTGCACCAAAATCAAAAACTAAGGGACTCTGCAAAATGTTAATAAGAACAGACCTCAATTCAATTAACAAATTTGTGTTTGAACTTCCTTTAATTTACTGAAAAAAGTCAATGCCTGCTACTTTTCACCTTTTTTTTTTTTTTGCTAGTGATACATTTTTGAAATATTGGAACAGGGCAGAGTTTAACACTAATGCTTTTAATGTTGAGCAGTTTTAAGGTTTCCTTCATCAACTTTTTTATATTTCAGTTCTTCACAAGTTTTCTTAACACTGAGCTTTTTGTGTTGATTTTAAGCTCGGTTTATAGACTCAACACTTAAGCATTGAAGTTCTTATCTTGGTGAAATAAATCAGACCTTATATGTTGCTCTTCAATCCGTGTAGCTAATGATGCATTTACACATGCACATAGTCTCTTATGTCAAAATGTGTAATTATTTATCAATCAACARAGTACTTCTTTCACACAAAAGTATTAAAACAATATAAAATTGCTACYTTCTGGTTGTGAAAAATTGGTGTCTGTCCCCGTTTTTAAACTGTCTACTTTATGAACTTCATAAATGCATAAATTGTATTATGATGAGTAGAAGTAATATAAGATATWATAGTAACACATACTGCGTGATAGTAATATTGTATGATTTTGATATTGAAACACTGAAAAATGTGAGGAGGAAGGTGTTACATGTTGCATCATTTGAGCCTCRTCCATCTATCCATCCATTGTCTTTACCTGTTTTTCCGTGCAGGCTTGTGAAGAACTGGTGCCTGCTTCCAGAGATCACTGGGCGAGAATCAGAGTACAWCATGGACAGGTTGCWAGTCCATCACAGAGCACATTAGTTACTAATTAAGTCAACATGCATGAGTCATTTTTAGATGCTGCCATTTAGAGCTAAGCTCAGAAAACTCAAACCTAAGATGAGAACTAAAGATCACTTGTACAGGGTGASGTACTGAAAATTACATGACAATCCTGGCTTCACAACACATGAATGCTTCACYACACAAAATGCAGGTTCTGCTTCTTTATTGTATCGTTGTGGATTTCGATTTCTGCTTCTGAACTGTGTGCTGATAACTGGCCAGATGTTTATTCTTGTTTTCTGCCTGCAGGACTCACCATCCACGATTTCCAAAAAAACAATTACGTATTTTGAGTCGTCACGCTGTGGGACAGTCCTCCACTTTGCCTCAGTCCATCTGAAACCAGCCCAAAGATTTGTCTGCTTTTCTGTTATATTATCTAAATTTTGCCTCACTTTTATTTATTTATTTATTGTCCTACTGAAGTCTATTAATTCACTCTCTTTTTCATTTCAGCTACATAAGTGCCAACCGAGTCAAGCACTGCTGCTCTGCTTTGAAAAGTCCCCCCTCTAGGTTTTGGTTGCTAATTAAGCAGAAGCATTTTTWAAAAAGTCTAAACCATTTAACTCTGTGAATAATATTGGCGTTTAAAAGCATATTGTTGTTTTTTTTTCAGCCTGTGTGTTTGTCCCTCTGCAGCCACAGCTGAGCTGGATTCTGCTGCAAAGACAGACTTTTCTCTTCCAATTATCTGGACACACTCCTTACTTACAAGTGGCCGGTAAGCAGCCGTTTTAGTTTGAGGACACAGAGTTCAACATAGTGAATACAACAACTGTACATCCAAGCCTGAGTGTTTCTACACTTTAGTAATAAAGCTGACCTTTGTTCTTTAGGAGCACTGAGCAACGAGACGCACTTCAGTTATACAGTACATCTTTTTATTATCGCAAATATGCAAGAAAAGTCAAATGGAGACACTGTAAATGAACACATGCCCTTTAATACCACAGTCTAATTGTTTAAAACACTTTAAATAATATACATTTGCACCTTTTTATACCCTTTGAAATGCTTTAATCCATATGTACACAATGTTGCGTTTTGAAATTCTTTTTAGTTCTTTTCGTGATGAGGACTGCGAGGTCTCTCGAAAACATGAGGAGCCCATAAAGCCTATAGAGTCCTGATAATTCAATATACAGAAACTGTACAAGTGACTCGCTTCAGGGGTGGAGTGACAGCCATGTGGACTGGCTGAACACTTGACTGGTACTTCATCTGGGTGGGGGGGAAAAACTGAAGAGAGGAGGGTGGGTGGGTTGACGTGAGGGAACATGTCTGTGAAGTTTCCAGTCCTGTCAAGTTTATCTGGCTCTGTAGTTAACTCGTCATTTAAACACCGAGTCAAACAAAAAGGGGGCGTCTAAGGTTTCCTRCAGTCGGAGGTCGTTCTGAGGTTTTAGTACCTTTTTATCTTCTTCAATACGTACGTTTCAGTTGTCAGTATTATTCATTTACAAATGGACGGCTTGGCTCTTGAACGGGGCGCGTCAGTAACAGAGCCTGCACTGAYCGTTTGAACTCTGCGGTTATAAAACGGTCAGCAGCAGCTGGAGCTCGGATCGTTGCTCCGTCAGGTCAGTAGCCCGTACCGTCTGATGAGCTGCGGCGGACAGGAGAGCATTTTGAAAATGAGGTACGGGGCCGACAGCAGCGGGTGCAAACCCGAGTTTCTACTGACATCGTGGAGCTGGAAGCCCTCAGGGAGGCAGGCGGGGGGTCCGAGGACCGCTGCGAAGACACGCCTCGGTACATGAAAGGGYCTGGTTGACCATTCCCTTTGAAACGACGCGCAAAGGCGCAGGCAGGTCAGAACAAAGATGGGTTAGAGTGTGGGAAAAGACCTCCAGGGAAGACTCCCTTTGGACTCGGGGTGACACCCCCCCCCCCCCCCCTCACACACACACACATTTTCTCACCATGCACACTGTGTGTGTAACTTCTGCTGTAAAGAGAGGAGTGCTGAGACAGCAGGTTGGACTGCGCAGGGCCGAGCAGCTCTGTGTGCCTGGCAAAGTGGGCCATTAACCCACCGCCCTAAGGTGTGACCTGGGCCAAATCCAATATTGGCTCCAGCATCAAGGCACAGGTGCCACTCAGGGTTCAAAGCCACAGATCAGCAAGAAACCCCACTGCTACCTCTGCCCTACCCCCTTTCTTTTTCTTTAACAATAAAGAAGTGAATGTACATTCAGACTATAGATACCTACAAGCACAGCTGCTGCATCTGGTTCTTTGGCACATTGTTGTGCCTGTCAACGAAATGTTAGAGGGATAAAAACATTATGAAGCCTTAATAATAACAAGCCTTAAACCTCTTCTCTTCTAAGTTTGGATTCTGCTCCATATATTTTTTTCCTGTGTCTCCTAATCTGAACAAGTCAAATGTCTGAAGAGATGTATTGAAGTATCCCCGCACATTCTGTACGACGGATATGTCATATGACATAATGCCTTGGAGCGCCCATCACAGATAAAATGACAGATGCTGTTTTTTGCCTCATGGATCTTTCTTGGCCAAGTTGATTCTGAGACTTGTATTTTTACTCCGTGCTGCTGTCTCTGTGACTCTGCTTTACCGCTTATTCTCCTCTCCAAACATTTTCTTTTCATCCGCAACAACTTTACAAAACCTGCTGTTTCCGTATCGAGTTTCAAACACGCTCACTGTGTAATTGCTGGCGACAAGGAGAGCGTTTTCGATGATGTCTCACTTTCTTTTTTAACTGACACTCAGCCATCTGCTTTGTTTAGAATTGGTGTTTACCCCGCCCATCTGCTCACCCTTCTCCACATTAGTTCTCGCAGGCACTGGTGAGAGGTCTGCTCTCCATAGATACAGTAGTCCAGCTCCATAGACGCCTTCTTTGGGTTACTGACACTGTAGAGGGCATGTATTGATGGAGGGGAGAGGTGATGCTGTGCTGAGTAAATTCCTGGACATGCACTGACCTTTCTGTCTGTATTTTAGTCACTAAAAGCTCTTGCTGTCCCTAAGGGGAGTGAAGCATTCTGGGGGCTACAGTGTTTTACCAAGGAAGTGAGGTTCTCTACTTGTTGTCTTCTTCCTCCCTACCATCACCCACTTTTGTCAAGGCACCGCCCCTGCACCGACTGGCTGCCTGGAGCTCTCGCTTCCCATCTGTCCAGGTGGATGGATGGCTTTGATTGGTACAAATCTCTGACCCTGTCGTCGGCCTTGCTTTTGAGTGGCAGTAATTGGCATGGCAGTAGGCAGGCCCATCTTTCACTTGTGGTCAGCTATGATTGACCTGATTAGGCCTGGGTAGCTCCCCAGAGTGAAGGGGTCTGGTGTGCCCTGGGGCTCTGATAAGCTGGCTGTACCCACTTGTCCCTCAACCAGCAGCAGAAGATGATACATGTTGTTTAAGTAAGTTGGCAGGAACAGTAGCCTGACTAGCCTTACTTGTCATTTCGTATCCAGGGGTCAGGGAGTTTACAGAGGGAAATTTGAGACATGGCATTGTCATACAGTGTGTGCAAACCCGAGCATATGAGAGGGGCGGCCGCCGGAGGGTTTTGGTTTGGTTCTTGTAAATTCAGACCAGTCATGTGTTTGCAATTAAGGCTTGTCTGTACAGTTTGTTTACAGAGTGGTGCAATCAATGTAATTGTGAGAGGGTGTTCCTGACTGAAATGTCTGTCTTCTTTCTCTCGGCCTGGGTTAAAGTGGGCACTTGCTGGTTTTCTCTCCCAGTGTTTCTCATTTCCAAATGTAAGTGCGTCTTTTGATTTGTATCAACCTCTGTAAATACTCCCTTTTTATCATTCTTGTTTTCCCTGGATCAAATATAAACAAGGGCTCTATTTCAGATTGGGACGTCAGCTCGGATCCATGTCAGCAGCTTTGTTTGTGTAAAGGCTGAAGCTGTGCATATCCCATGCATTGTAAAGAGCCATAAAACAAACTGAAGCTACGGCAATGCTTTCACTGTTTGTTTGAAAATGTGTTGTCAGTGTTTTCCAAGTTTAAGTTCTAGTTTGCACCTGGATATCTGGATGTTATTAAGTATGTCTGTTTGTTCTCATTTATGCTCGGCGAGAGAGATTATTTTTCTTAAGTGGACGTGTGTACTTGCTTAGAGGCTTCAACATTCCTTACCACTGATACCGTGAATGTGTTTGCCATTCAATAAAGATTATCTCATTTTGTGAATGAGAAAACTAATACTGTTAACTATCAAGTGTTCTTACAAAGTGCCCCACTGTAGAAAATGATCCTTTTGGCTGCTGCAGAGAAACAAAGATCTTTGCTTCTTTAGAAAATTGAGAATGACTTCATACAAGTAGACATTGTACAATCCTTAAATCAAAAGGAAAAAAAAAAGCATTATAAAGGAATAAAAACAGACCAGTCATTTAATAAATCTAATACAATGTGCAATATTTTAAACACATTACATCAGAAGCACATTTCTAAAGATAAATGTAAATGCACTCTTGTTTAAAAAGTTTGAACACTTTTATCAGGAACCTTAGGATAGTGGTTTTTGAGTTATACCACACTTCTGTCACCAGTGGACAGTCCTAAATACAGGAGCGAGTRCATTYGGAGTAGATTGAGGACACTTTAAACTAACTAACTAATCACTTGGGTTACATTTGGAGGTAGTCTGAAACACTTTTAAGCCTTTGTGTGTTAGTTGAAAGCAAATGTGGCTCAGGATGCACCACCTGACCTGACGTAACTTCAGCCAAGCAGTGGAGTTACAACCAGGATGGGTTTATGGTCCCCACCCCACCCCCTATTAAATGCTGTACAGTTGTTTGAAAAAAAGAAAAAGGTACAAATGCCCATTGATGACATGAGAGACATAATCTGAACGTGTCCTCAACCTACTTTAAGTATGTTTTCACTTTTATTTATTGTTGTCAGATTGTGATCCGATTAGCTACAGTTCTGAATGAAGCCCAGGACACTTTCACGTAGGGCTACATGAGATTGGAAAAAGCTGACATTGTAATTTTTTTTCTAACCCTGCAATATATATTGTGAAAAACAAAATACAGGGACTTCAACAAATGTGTTGAATAACACTTTAAGCCATCTTGTTGACAATGAACTGCATTGATCTAAGCTCTTGTTTGGTGCATGTTTCAAGTGTGTTTTTGTCTGTGTTTGAGTTATTCTTGTTATCTTTTAGTTGCTTTTATTGTGCTAGGACCTGACTTACATGTTCCCTTCTATCATGCACAAACAAAAATTCTATTTTACCACCTAACTTGTTACATCTGTGTCTATCTTTGTTGATGTCACACTTTAATTTTAGCATTCCTCCAGTTCCCTGCAAATTTGCTCATCTTACTYGCTTTCATCAAGACMCTCATYGTCTTCCTCCACAACTTGAGAAYACCCCGACAACACTGTCYCAGAGGTTTCGCAACAAAATGAAAGTTTCAGTGTTGACACGAAGCTGCCCACTTTGCCAGCAGAACAACCTGTCAAAATAAAAGCTGGAACACTCGACCGTTTAGTGCAATGACTAATTGTTTAGTGGTTTAGGCTGTAGATAACACATTGATTTAATTTGCCCACTACATTGCAGAACCTGCAACGTGACTATTGTGCACATGTACACTGTGATGACGATACTCAATGTATTGTGCAGCTCTACTTAGTGGTCACCAGCAGCGATAATAAAACCTAAAATTATTTGAGCATTTGATCCTACAAAAGYTTGCATTTTTACCAAATACAATCTGATTTAACTCTAGCTTYTGAAAGTTTTGAGTCATAGAATTACAGATAGTTGACCTGAATATAAAGTATGGAGTCCATCCGATAGCTACATCTGGATAAAACACACAGGTTGATAGAGAGCAGATTAACTGCTAACGGGAAATATTCAACCCAAAAGGTTGTTAACCAGTGCATTGTTGTGCAGCAGCATCGTTTTAAGGAGTCGTTAGAAATTAATGTGGAGAGTTTCTGATCTGTTTTAATGCTTGGTGTAAACTAATCTCACAGTTTTGATCACCCAGAATGAGTTTAATGGTACAAAGCTAGGTCTCATACATATTTTCAGGATTAATGCTGTTAGCTTTAGCATGGATGACGTGTACTTTTCTAAGAACATCCTGGTTTACACAGAAACCTTAACAAATTGTGGTCCCCAGTTTTACAGTATAAACAAAGTTTTGAAAGCTTTGTAAGCCTTGGGGGGTATTATGTATTTTTCAGGCACATAGTTCAGTTCTACACCACAGTCAAGTAACTGTTACCTTTAGTTGTTATAGAAGTGCTGTGAATATCAAAAATAATTTTGACTCTGCATCATAAGCTGCGTTTCCATTGACCATGAAAATGCGCAAATTAGAATTTCGAAAATAAATTTGCTCAATGGAAACACATCAATTTAGAAAAAATTACGTTTTTCGACTAAATGGTTTAGTGCTAGGATGAGGTGGTTTTTCGGCCGTATCGTAATTGGTGTTTTTCGCAAAACTGCAATGGAAACACTTTTTTCACAACACAGGAG